CCACTATACGAATTATTTTCAAATGTATCAAATTGTTTGCCAGTAGGTATGGGCCCCACAAGTCGGTTTTTCGAAACATTGAACTTTCCAAGTGATGTCAAATTTGTCAATTGCTCCGGAATCTCACCAACAAGCGCATTTGAAGAGAGATCTAACCATTCAAGATTGCTCAAATCACCAAACGAGTCTGGAATTGTACCTGTAAGCTCATTATGTGAAAGGTTAAGCCCCTTCAATGACTTAAGTTTGCTGATTACATTTGGAATTTCTCCACTAAAACCGTTGTTTGAGAAATCGATAGTAGTGAAGAAAGTCTGGATCTTCGCCATTTCAATTTCGATGCCTTTAATTGCTACTACCACAGTGTCCTCACAATATTGTTCTCCCATATATTTCAGTTCCTGTTTTTGTAAGTTTTTCATGGCCGTCAAATGCTCAAAATATTTTTTTGGCAGAAGACCACTAAACTGATTGTTGGAGAGGTCCATGATGCGCAAGTTTTGGAATGGAAATCTAGTTTTCGGATTACCTATTCCACCATGGAATTTGTTCGACCTCAACATAAGAACTTGCAACTTTGGATGAGATTCCAGCCAATTGGGGAATTTGTCATGAATTTTGTTTTTTGCAACGTCTAGAATTTCCAACTCTCTACATGTGAGCAAAGACAACGGCAATGGCCCTTCCAACTGGTTTCCATTAAGGTTAAGATTCCTCAAAACATTCCGTGCAGAAAAGGTATTAGGAATGATGCCATCAAATTTATTCTTCCTTAGATCCAAAACAGAGAGCCTCTGACTGAAGTTCCCTATGCATTGAGGAATTTTACCACTCAATCTGTTATAAGACAAATCAAGTATTTGAAGGAAACTCAGGCTGCAAATAGTTGGAGGAATCTCTCCAATTAATTGGTTGTTTGATATGGTAAAGTAAAATGTGGAAGGTGGTGGAATTGGAAGCTTTCCTTGGAGTGAATTGTTGCGAAGGTCAAGATATTGAAGGTTTGTCCACCGAAGTTCTGCAGTGCCCACCAAAAAGTTGTGAGAAAGATCTAAATACGTCAATGACTCTTTGCCCACATCCAACAACCATTTGGGAAGGTCGCCTTGAATTCGGTTGTGGGAAAGGTATAACGCTTCCAAGTTTGGTGAGGCTCTTAGAAAGTATGGGAACTCACTTATGTTACAAAACGACAAATCTAGTGTCCTGAGTTCAAGCCAGGTGCTGTTACTCAAATAGTTGAAACTCAAGGATAGATGGTTAGAGGAAAGATTAAGCCTAACAAGACTCTGGAGTTTTGAAAACTTTTCAAACTCCACTGTTCCACTCAAGTCATTGGATGATAGATCAAGCCATCCAAGGTTCACTAGCTCATAGATTGATCTTGGAATCAGGCCATGCAACTTGTTATAACTTAAATCAAGCTGTGACAAAGAACGAGATTGGAACTCAAAGATATTACCACTGAGTTGGTTTCTTCCGAGGTTTAACTCCTCCAATGATGGCAAGCTTCCTAACCAAGATGGCATCGTTCCGTTGAGTGAGTTGTTATATAAAGTGAGCTTGGTTAGGTGTCGAGGAATAGGTCCCACCAGTTGCCCTTTTGAAAATTCATATAAAGAAGAGATCCCTGTTGAGTTGCGCACAACTTCTGGAAATTGACCCACAAAATTGTTGCTACTAAGATCCAAGTCCTTGAGTCTCTCAAGGTTTAGAAGCGACCATGGAATATGGCCACCAAAACCGTTATATGAGAGGTCCAACAACATGATTTGTGTGAGGTTACCAAGCGATGCAAGATATGATCCTACAAAAGTGCAATTTCTGAGAAACAAATATCTCAAAGACCTGAAGTTTCTGGTGAGATGATGCCAATCTACTGAGATTCTAGTATGAGAGAGGTCTAAGCTTTCGAGTGGACTGCTCCAGTTAGACTTGGGGAAATAACCTGTGAGGTTATAGTTTGAACCTAAATTCACTTGTCGAAGGTTTGGTAGGTGGAAAATGCTCTCTGGGAATTTTCCTTGCAAGTGGCAATGAAAGAGTATAAGAGTTGTTAGCGAAGAAGACAGATTGTTAAAGGAATCAGGTACAACTGATGACATATCAACTGCAGCCAGATCAAGCTCCCTAAGATTGGTTAGGTTTTGAACAATTCTGTTCAAGCTAAGAGTATCTAGTGTCACAGCAGCTTGGGAGAGATTGAGTGAAACCAAGTTGGAAAGGTGGGAAATTTCTGAAGGGATTGGGCCACTGAAATTGGAGTCAGAGAGGTCAAGGTGAGTCATACTTACAAAGCCACCAAACTGGGAGGAAATTGGGGAGCCTCGAAAATCATTTCTTGAGAGGTCTAGCCGCCTGAGATGGCGAAGAAAGAACAAGCTGTTGTTGGAATGGATACTGCCTTGAAGCCCACCGAAATGAAGGTTGAGACTGATCACACGACCAGTCATCTTTTCACAAGTGACTCCACTCCATGCGCAACAATTCTTGCCTTTCTGCCAAGAAATTGTCCTATTAGAATATAAGGAAAGAGTACGAATAGAAAAGGCCTTCTTGAATTGAAGCAAAGCATAGCTATCATCAGGATGACATAAATGCATTGAAGAAAAAGAAGAGGAAGAGGAAGAAATAGATGATGATGAACAAGTAGAGTTAAATTGACAAGTAGTAAAGAGCAGGAAGAGGAGGCACAACCAACCCATCTTTCCTTCAAAATCTAAAAATAATTTTGTGAGCAACTCTATAATGGAGACGTTGATTTTATAACAAGTTTCGTCAACAGTGATTTATCTGTAATGTCAGATATTTGACGCAAAATCATCAGCAAGCAAGCAAGCATCTGTTGACATCGAGGGTGAAACATCTTTTGGAAAATTTTGCAAACAAAGCTTTGATTTGATTGGCCTTGACGCTGATTGACATTTGCTTGGCCTTTTGTCACAATCTGTGAATGAACTTTGAGAGCAAAGTCATGTACACAGGATAATTAACAATTGTAAAAGGGAACTAGATTTTTATTTAAGGCCACAACAGAAGTCCAGCCGGTGTGACGATAAGGTTGTCCCCTGCCTGCGTCAGTTTTCACAGATGATTATCATTATTATTATTATTTTGGTAAATATTATGAGGTGTCTTCACACCAGAAAGTGTGGGATTAATTCCCGCTCGATGTTCTGCTTGCTTTTGACCACAAAATGCTCCTAACTGACTTTGAATTCCTGCCAATGGTGACAGCTGAAGATGGTAATTTGCCAATTGCACCGCACCTTGTAATTACATATGATTTTTTCAATTGAGACGATTCAGTATCTATATTCTGTTGACAAGATATGATGAACACCTGAGCTGATTCTTTCTTGCGTTTATTCATCTAATTGGAAAAAAACTTGCGCCAAGTCACCACCAAGTTTTGCTTGTCTTTTCACTGTCCGTCGCTACCCTTAGGCATTTGGTAGGCATCACTCTCAACTATTTTCGGTCGATTCGATGAAAAAGGAAATAGCTTTAACTTTATGAAAGGTGCAACTTTGTTTTGGGTGAAATGAAAGGTGCAACTTTAACTTTACGAAAGGTGCAACTTTAACTTTATGACTTGCCATGTTTATCACACTCATTAGTCAAATTTAACTTTATGCGTGTGCAAGAGCTTCTCGTGCCTTCCCTTCACTAGCCAGATTCCTAAATTATAAACATCGGCTCTTCTCAAGTACCTGCATATAAATAAAACATAGAAAAGATTATAATAAAAACTTTGAAGAAACACTAGTCTCAAGAAATAATGGATGTACGCTTATCACATATTACTTAATTTGGTAGAGATTTAATTCTTATATTTCCCTCTTTAAACCCAATTCAACAATTTTCTTTTAAAATCCAATTCATCTCACCTGCTACTCAACAAATTCTAAATGTCTTCCTTAGCTTGCAAGCTCTTCAAGCAGAGTCACCTCATCTACATCCAAGTAGATTTTTCTTTTTTTTTTTTTTTATTTTAAAAATGGGTTGGAGAGTTCATTTCAAGACCTCACCCAAAACAGGGAGGGCACTATGACAACAAACAAAGCAACCCAGTAAGGAAGCCAAAGAAGCTATCTAATTTGTACTTTCAAATAAACAAGAACAAACAAACTGTCCCGGATAATGATATCAACATATAAACAAAATTGGGTGGAGAGGCGAAAAGACTAGTCGCACCCTAATCCCTTCTCTCCTTGCCGACAACCTCCTCCCTTCCGCCCATTTTCCCCTTCCTCTCCTCATCTCCCCTTCTTTTTCTCCCATCTTTTCCCTTCCTCTTATCCCCTCTTCTCCTCCCATTCCCCTCCCTAGATAGTCTAGATCTGTTTGTCTGTTTGTTTTTGTTTGATTGTTTTTGCAGTGTTCTAGGTGGCTGGTGTTGCCTGTCTCAGTGGTGGTGACAGTAGTGAAGCTGAATTGTGTCTCTTCTCTGGAGAATTGTGATACCTAGTGGCTGATGTTTTGTCTATGTTTCAACGGCGGCGGCAACAGCGACACTAGTGGTAGTTGTTGGGATGTGGTGCTTTTCTCTACTCTGCGCCGACAGAAGAACTATGCTTGGTCATATGAGGTTTTCTTTGTCAGGTTCTGAGTTGAAGTGGAGTGCTTCTCATGGGTCCTCTTTTATTGTTGTTTATGTGTTCCTCCTATGTGTTCTCTCCTGGTTTCTACTATGGTATGCCTTGCAGTTTGTTTGGGTGTCAAAGGACTATGATTTTGCTCATAGAAGTTTCCTTTTGACAGTTGGGATGTTCTACAGTCCTCTCATGTGGGTGTCAGAGGTCTTTGTGCTAGTTTTCAGTTTTAATTTTTTTTCTTTTATTGTAATGTTCCAAAGTGACCTGAAAGGGACTCTCTTGTTAGTCCATGAGATGTGTGGTACTCTTTCCTCTTCTGGGGTTTGTCCCATGAGGTTGTCCTAGGAAGGTTTTAACGAGGCCACTTTATCATGTCCCTTGTTTTAGACAAAACTAGCTGGATTAAGCGGAGCAAAACAACCCAATAAGCAAAACATCATCAAACTCAAAGGAAAAACTAATCCACCACAAATCAGCCACCACAAGCCAACCACTAACAGAGCAGCACCAAAGCAAGGGAAACATAACCAAGAGACTGGAAAGAGGTGGTGCGAGCACCCGAGCCGTAGCTCTACACAAATTCCACGATGTTTGCGATTTCTCGCTTTGCTGGATTGATGTAGTAGCCAATATATGAAACCAAATCGAGCGGGGAGAGAGGGGGTCTGAGTAACAATCAGCCCAAGAATCTCCATCTCTACCAAAGTCGTAAACACCAATACACCTAGAGGAGGAAGGCAGGAACCGATTGGAGGACAACCAAGGGACAACACCGAAAGGATTGGAATTGGGGAGATCTGGGGGAGTAAAGCTGAAATGAGGCATATAGCCCCAGAAAAGAGGCATAAAGCCCCAGCAACGAGCATGAAAGCTCCAACGCATCACCAATTCCTCACAATAAGAGAGTTTTGGACCTGAACCTCAAGAGAGAAACAAACCAGGGATGGTAGGGAAGGGGGAGGGGACAAGGCCTCCTCCCTCTCAAAGAGATTAAACTGTGTGAAAAGTTGGGGGATGGTTTTTACTTATCAGTCTCCGCTAATTTTCCTTGATGCTTATCCAAGTAAATTTATAAAACTTAAGTGTGTGTATATCAAAACAACACACTAAATAAAGAACCCTAATAATGACTAAACAGGAGAGATCAAAGCAATAAGAGAGGTTCGCTTCGCTTTGTTCATTAAATAGAAAGGCCAAATTGAAGGGGATATTCTAAAGCAACTTTATTAACATGACAAAGAAAGATATGTGCTCAAGATTGTTGAATTTCTCAAAATTTAGATAATCTAACTAAATAATATTGATAAAATAACTCGAAAATTAAAAATCTAACATGTTGGTGAAAATGATCAATCAGTGCAGGTGTCCAGTATCGTATCGATCCAAAAGAGAACGGTGTAAAAGTTCAAATTTTTTTAAGAGTAATTGTAGCAAAAGTAAATTTTAAACAATATTTAAATTTAGATGAAAAAGTACTCTATTTTATTTACCCTTGTAGCTTGACCGTGGTTACCTTTGAAAAACCAGTTAACAAATGCTTTGCTTTTGTACTCTTAAAAAATACAAATGATTTGCTTTATTATTCAGCAGACATGTGCTTTACTTATAGAGTAGCAAGTAGGGGTGGGCACGGTACGGTATTGAGCTCGTACCGCTATCGATATTGGAAATTAAAACCGGTATGGTATGGTATGAGATTATCGTTTGTCAAAGTTGGTACCGTACCGTAGCGTGCCAAATCGGTATCGGTACGGTATCGGTACCATTTCGGTACCAAAATGACACAACTAAAAAATGAACCAGTAACAACATTTAACATTTCACAGCTTCAGAAATTACCACATAACAACAATGAAAGACAGAGCATAGGACAATTCATGAAGAAAAGAGAATTTCTTGGTCAAAGACAGAGACTAAGTCCAAGAGTGATCTGAATTCTGATCACAAGGAACAAGACACTCACGTGTAGACCCCTGCATGGACCCTGATGACCACTCTCAAGAGATTGATGAATGGGAGAGAGTCAATGGCATCCTGAATGGTTGTGAAGTCTCCAGCAGCACAGTTCTTAGCCACATGCAGAGTGTAAGAAGGGAAGAGCTTATTTTTGGTTGTCTTGAACACAGAGTGCTTCAGCCTTCCAACAAACCTCACCCACTTCATGAATTGCTGTTCTAAGAATTGGGCTTGTGTCATGTTCTTGGTCAAATGTACTTTCCCAATTGAATTCCCAGGTCGAAGTCTCTTGCTGTGGCATTGTGTTTGGGTTGAATTGAAGAGAAGAAGAATAATAATAACATAGAAAATGTGTTGGAATGTTGGCATTTAATTTTAAAACAGAAAAATGAATAGGGGCTGATATGAGAAGGAGAGAATATGAGTATAAAGAGTAAAAAAAATTATATTTCAATATTCGGTACGGTACGGTATTGACCAGTACCAAATACTTGATACCGCTACCATACCATACTTTATTGGTACAGTACGGTACGGTACCGATTATCTCCCCATCCCAAATGAAATGTTATGAAATCGGTATGGTACGGTATGGTTAGTGTACGGTTTCGTTATTTCGGTTTTAGATGCCCACCCCTAGTAGCAAGCAATAATGAAGGGAGAGAATTATTAAAAAAAAAGGGGCTAGAACCTCCTTTGTAAACCCTCAAAAAAGCCTTGATATGCCTTGGCATTGGAATGAGACCCTCCCCTTCCCCTGAATCTTTTTTTCAGAAAAACAAAAACAAAAAAGAAGGGAGAGAATTATCTGTCAACACAACTAATTTCTCTTCTACCATCTACCCGCATAAAGCTCTGATGTGGGAAATAGGGTGGCAGTAGCACGTGCAAGTGGTGTTCTTTTGTATGTTTGGCATGGATATATCAAATATACAGTTGGGCTGGATTTCATGAGCATGCCGCTCTTAACTCGTTATATTTTTATCAACAGATTAGGAGACCAATTTCATACACAGAAAGAGATCATATCTTTCCAAATTGTACAAGAAGATGGACCACAATCCTATAAATACAGAAAAACTATTTGATAAGTGATTTATTTCAGTCGTTACAAGCCACAACACATCATTATGGCAAGCCATGTTCATGGTCTAATCTCGCAACTGATATATTAACCAAAGTTGCTGAACGTCTCTCATATTCTACTCAATGTCGTTTTGGTGCAACATGCAAAAGTTGGCGAGTTTCTCTGGATGGGCTTCAACAATGTGCAATTATGCCCCCTTTAATTCCTTGTAGTTGCCAATATTATGGTCAAATCTTTAGCGTAGTGGTGGAGATCTTTGATCTATCATCCAAGGAAACTTAACTCAAAAGTAATTAGGGTTTGGGCTGATATGTTTATTCTTCTCTCAATGAGGGATATAAATACTATATACTACATACAGAGTGGGTACAAATAGAAAATATGTACAAAATCTCCTAATTCTATTCAAATTAGATAATTACAATAAAATACAAATTCTATTCTTAATAGGAATGTTGACTTTGACTCACACAAACACTCTCCCTCAAGTTGGTGCATAGATATCAATAATGTCCAACTTGTCAAGTGAGTCTTCAAATCGGCACTTTGACACGGCATGGGTCAACATATCTGCAAGCTGCTCCGAAGAAGGCACAAAAGGTATTGAAATTGACTTATGCTCCAGCTTCTCCTTAATGAAATGCCGATCAACTTCTACATGCTTAGTTCGATCATGTTGCACTAGATTGTTAGCAATTTCAAATGCAGACTGACTATCACAATGAAGTTTTGTAGCAGCATCCGGTCTAAACCCAATTTTAGCAAGAAACCATCTCAACCACAGTATTTCTCAAACCCCTTAGGCAATCCCTCGTACTCGAATTCTGTGGAGGACCCAGACACAACATTTTGCTTCTTGCTAAGCCATGTAACTAGATTACCGCCAACAAAGGTGAAGTAACCTGACTCAGGTTAGTACATCCAAGGGGTGCTTTAACACCCAGTGTCTTAAAGTCAACTGACTTGAGCACATTGATTTAACACCCATTACATAGGTGGTGAGCTCTGTATGCATCTTGTATGTATATTTATCCTATGTTCTTGGCTTGTTCTTGGTTGGACTTTTTCTTTGTTATTAAGCAAGTTTAGTTGCATAACACGAGATTGGGCTTTAATTTTTGCTCATTTGATGGACTTTATTTCTCACAAATACATTTGATTCTCCATTTTATAATCCTTGTGCTTGATTAAACCTTTGTGATTTGATGTGCCTTAAATCTTGAAAGGCTTTGGTTCAAATGCTTCTAGACAGATATTGGTATTGGCTCTGCTTGTCTATCCTTATGCATAGTGTTGGCATGTACTCATGATTTTTTTTTGACATGTATGAAGGAGGAGTCTTGGTATAATGTTGAGTATGGTCATTGGTGTTTATAATTGTCTTCATCCTTGGCATATCTTTAGGGGTAAGAGATATTGTTCAAGTGCACAAGATGATATGATCATGTTTATTATTTTTCTTTCATTGGTGTGTTTTTCTTGATGTGGTAGCTTTTAGTTTTTGTTTAAGTCCTTAAAAATAAAATAAAAATGAAAATGAAATTTTTTGTTTTCAAACATAGTGTTATTTTATGCTTCTTGTTAAATTGTGCAGCTAGGCTTTGCTTCATGTTGCACCTCGAGCTTCGCCTGAATATCAGAATTACTAAGATGGACACATGACAAACTGAATATGAGGATTGCAGTGTCATTATCAATCATGTCAGTTGCTGACCTGTAGCACAGCATGTTCACAAGAACATTTCTTTGGAAATATGTATGACAAATGAAGAGCATAAGACATGTAAACAAAGAGGTAAGTATCATGTATTATGTTTATATGATTGAACCTAAAATTGTGTATGTTGTTCTTGTAGGTGATAAATGGATCTTGGCTATGAAAGATGAGACTTTTGCACCTGTTGCACATCTGGAGGTTATTGCTCGTTGTCACTTGTCAAGCCAAATGGACATCAAAAGTATTAACACAATAACATAGAATCATCATGTTAGGTTACATCGAATCCTTAGCAAGGAATTTAGTTACCCATAGCCATCTTAAAACAAACAATATACTTATGAACATAAAATACAAAGTTTGAATTAAGATTTAAAAAAAAACCTTAGTTGAATCCATTGTAGTTGAACTCCTCCTCTGGCAAATCTTGAAGGCTATGAACGGCTAAGAAAGTGAGTATGTGAATTGAGTGATTTGAGATATTGAGCAATATGCTAGGGTTCCCCCCTCAAAGCTAGTCCAAAAGATGTATTTACAGGCTAGCTTCTAGATTTTGGAGAAAAGATAGGAATTAAATCCATCTAGAATAGGGAATTTGTTCTCCTAATGTGATTAGGATTTGACTTTTGATGCATTTCCTTTGACCAGACCAAACGCCACCAATCCCAACAAAAATAGCTAACTTATAATTGAATTAACACAATATTTTGGTGCCTCATAACTGCCCAAGTACATTCAAAAGCTTGCTTTACAAGAATGGTAACTTGTGATGCTAAGTTGTCAAAACTCGCGCATAATGTCAGCACTAACCCACTGGTACTAAAACTGATGTAACTTCCTGTAGAAAACTCGAAAGCACGAACCGTAAAATTCTCCAGAAACTAGAATTCCAGAGCCTTCCAAGCATATAAAGCACATTATCTTGTTCTTCCTGAGCACATAAAGTTAAATCTGTAAAGTTGACCCATCTGCACAGGCAGTTTCTCGAGTTCCAAATTTCTGCCTTCTTTGCTCTTTTTCATCATATTTTTCTCTTTTTAGCTCCGACTGAAATTTTGGGACGATTTCCTATAAAACTCACACTAAATACATCAAAACAACCAATTTCACATAAGAAACTAATGCAAATCATAGGAATAGGGTATAAAAAATAAGCACAAATATGGAGTTATTAGTGGGTAAGCTGGATATAGAACTTGAAGATTGGGTGATGGTGGATTGTTCTACCTCCTTAGGGATACGATCCTATACAATATTCTCTTACCTGGTTGAGTTTGATGGGAAATTCTTATTGGCACTTTATCATCGCGATCGTGGCTAAGGTTATGGCATATTTACCAGCTTGATTCATCACGTAAAGATTGGACTAGAGTTAAAACTTTGGGAAAGAGAGTACTGTTTTTGAGGCATATCGTCCTCAATTGCCAGTCAAGCAATCGGGGTGGCGAGTGAATTTGCAAACATGATATTTTGGCGCAAATATGATGGTTGTTATGATTCTTATACTTGCAAAACAGAAGGAGAATGGAGAGGTAATCAAAGATTTTATCCTTTTGATAGCATAGCAAACGTAGATTGAACCTTTTGAATTTTTGTATGATGATATTCAGTTATTGTTTTATTGTATTTATATGGCCACAGTCAATTGTCTATCTTAAGTTGATTCATATATTAATATTCTTAGTACCATTCACGAACTTAACTTATTACACTATTGATTTTATGTTTTTTTTAATTTATATTTTTATATTTAAAAATTCTTAGATTGCATTCATAATTCACTCAAAAAAGACACTAGCCACAAAGGGCCAAAATGCTACTAGCCAAAAATTTTGGAATTTTATGTATGCTATTTTGTACTTTCGTACTCTTTTTTATAAAAAAAAACAACACATTTTGAAACACTTTCTTAGCCTTTAGATTTACAACAATCCAACTCTTGAAACGTACTTGTCAAAAACTAATTTCACTATTTTATTAATAGCATTAACTCTTACACATGAACCGAGATAGTCTTCTCTTTTGTACTCATCCCCACTGCTCTCTTTGTTTTCAAACTCAATCTCCTCACTCTTTCTCTTCTTCTAAACTTTTGATTCAATAAATAAAGCTATGATTATGAACAAATCAAAGTACCAAATATTGGCCAACGAAGGTTGGTTGAGCTAGTAAGGATCATTCTTTTGGCTATTAAGGCCTAGGTTTGAGTCCCACTGGCGACAATTCCTCTTAGTAGGTAATCTGTAAAAACCCAAAAAAGGGGGAAGACCTCCTCTGTAAGTCCTTTTTTGGTATGTCCTGGCCCTGAGATGGGTAGCCTCCCTTCCCCCCTAAACTTTTGTTCACCAAAAAGAAAAAAAGTACCAAATATTGAAAGGTGAACAAAATGATAAGAATCTAAGAACTTACTTCTCCCTTCCCCTCTTTCACCTCTTTCTTGTTGGAACCCACCCACTGTAAAATTTGAAGCAAATTTAAAATTGAACTAGGCATGTAGTTTTTATTTGATTATATTTTTCACGATCATGACAAAGTTTCGGTGGTTAGTTGGCAATCATCCCTTAATTGAATTGAAGAGAACTTGCTACGTGAGACCATATCGCATATAACTTCAATCAAAATAGAGAGAAACTCTGTAACTAATTTTTTAGATAAATAATATTTTTCAAAATTTGTTAGAGCCTCATTAGCGAGTTCAATTGTCACGTCCCCATTTTTCATTTGGAAAAAAATTCAATGGATGTCCAAAGACCAGTTTGAGTGCAAAATAGAAATCCTCTTCCTCTAGAAATGTACTGTAAAATCCCAATGTTAATTTTCCGTTTCTCTTGGCCACAACGTGGTAGACTTTTTAGCCGAACACACAACCTTTGTTTAGTTACAATGGTGGGCTCTTTCTGTTGGGGTACAATGGCGGGCTTAAAGCCTATAATGTACAGAAGAACCTAGCTCTATGTTGAAGCATAAAAGTGAATAAAACGTCCCTACTCGAACTTTATGGAAAATGTAACAAAACTAAGAAAAATATATATATTAGCCAGAAAAGAATCTTTTCCTTGATTGCCAAGGGAGAAATCCACGTGGAAATTTTTATTTATGAAGAATGTGAATTAACTTGACAAAAAAAAATAAATAAATAACAAAGGGGTTCAATCCAGAAAAATTATAAATAACAATAAGAAACAGAGTTTTTCAACCCCTTGAAAATCACTTGGTAAAGCAAAAAAGATTTGAACTTATCCACGACATTTGACGTAAGTTCCATGTCAAAAACTTCATAAAGTACAACATATAACAAGTGCCCGTTTGGCATTACTCATTTTGAGTTATAATCACTTTCTTTCACAGTTTTGAATATCCGTACCTTTTGATTAAGGAGAAAAAACCTGCTTTTTAGAGGAAATCGCTGCCACATACAGCAGTTTGGAGAAGTGGGTAACCGGTGTGGGTTAATGAATATTTTAATATACTATCCTTATGTATCTTTACAATTTACACGAAAATTCAATCTTTAATTCACCCATTCTGTCCAATTCTTTTTTTCCTCTTAACTCGTTTATCATTAAACTCTTCAATTTTTAAATAAATAAATACCTTGGTGGGTTTTTTTTTTTTTTTTTTTTTTTTTTTTTTTTTTTATTATGTTTTGTTGTACCTTTTTTTTTTTTTTTTTTTTTTTTTTTTTTTTCTTGATTTTTATGTTTTTTTTTTGAATTTTCTTGACTTTCTCCTCTGAATCGTTTTCTGGGGCATTTGGGTGAATGATATATGATTTGGAACATGGTACTTCAAAGACAAATAGTTTAGAGCATTCAAGGATAAATATTTAACTTTCAACATAATATTTTGTTTATTTTATGATTGAAACAATTTTTTGGGTGGAGTGCTAAACGGCTAGAAAAGGTAGTTGACACATATCCAGCCGAAGTGCTATATCCGACGTGTAAATAACGTCTTGTGAACCAGCGGCAATTTGACAGCAAGAAACAAAGACGTTATTTCAATTATTGAGAGTTTTTTAATGAATGGGCCCCGCCCGCTGTGTATAAGCTTGCATATGCTTTTCTCTTACCATATTTTCATTGTTTTTCATTCTTTAATAAAATAATAATTTTATTTAACGGTTCAGGGGGAATAAGAAGTTGTCCATAATGTTAAATTACCACATAGGCCGTCAAATATAAATTTGATGTTTTTTATTTGACATTTCCCTTAGAGATGCTTTTGGAAACTTAATTTTGTACTAACATCAATTTTCGTATTTAGTTTACCAAACGCCAAACTACTTTCATTCACAGCTGATTTCTCTTACAACAAATCTGAAATTGATTATATTTACAGCATAGCAATGCCAAACTGGCTCTAAGTGATAGATACTACTTGCCTCTACCTGTAAGGAGATACTCCTCCTTCCTGCGAATCACAATTTGACACATATGCAAAAATAATTCATTAAAAACACAAAAATAAAAAATTATGAACACATGTCATGCTGCTATTGGTAGGAATTTAGGAGGTCCTACTTACATGGTAAGGAGGGAAAGTATTTTCCATAAGTGATTTTACTAATAATAACATGAAGACCTTTTGTATAAAACCTCACACCTTCCGAACTATATGCAAGTGATTAAGAGCAGTTAACTTCGCTTCTATAAAAAATAAAAAAAATAAAAAAAAATGAAACTATGGAGACCAAAAATGCAGTTTGGCCTTTTCATTTTGGACTGAAACTTGTTCATGTTTTTATTTTTATGTTGATCTCGTTTATGTTTGTGGCCATCTAGATAACACAACATCGAATAATTTCTGATCACATACAGAGTAAACATCATCTTACATTGTGGACCATTGAAACTTTCATGTCGACCTAACCAACAAATACTGTAGGGAGCGTTGTTTTTGGGGCGTTCGTTGTCAACTTCACCATTGTTAATTTTATGGTCATACTCTCCAACAACCAAAAATACCTTGTCAACGAATTTGTATATTGTACCCTTAGTTTTCAGTTGCGGACTAATACTACTTGCATGCTATTTACTCTACTGATTTAACAATATTCTTTTCCCTTCCTTTTACTTTCTGGAATGAGACGATTTATGGGAGTATATAAAATAGTTGAGGTAAATTACGTGTGTACTGATTGAATTGATTTGTCAACTTGACAAATTACAAGATGCATAAGCAATTGCCACTTTGACAAAAGTAAAGACGGACCTCTTTTGGAATTCATGCATATTTATTAGCGCTTTGACATAATACAATATTCATAAGAAATGAAAATGATATGCAATATGAAAATATATGAACTTTTGGAACAGTTTCTTCAAGCACGTCGTTGTGTGATTTCCACAGTTCTACAATGTTGCTTTCTTCCTACCACTTTCACAAGCCAATTTGGATTTCTAACAGAGAGTACAAGATATCCCACAGATATTCCAATTACCACCCCAGATGCATACCCCATCAACACGACCTTCCAATCAAAACCATTCCCGTGCTCCAAATCACCCTCTTGTTTGAATGACGATGGTGGTAAAAAAAAAAAAAAAAAAAAAAAAGGCTACTTGGACAACCTTAGATGGTGCTTTTTGGAAAATATTGACGTCTGCAGCGGTTAACATGACACAATTTTATTATCCACTGACATAACATTCCCTAATCACGACCCGAATCTTTCAAAAAAAGGTCGTTAAAAACACCTTTCACGACGTACAGTGGAAGTAAACTGTCATGGATAAATGTTTGAATGGTGGGGATTGTAAATAAATTTCGTGGTTAATCTGTTCACTACGTCTGTAGTGTCCAATTGATCATCCTTGTTATTTAACTTACTACGTCGGTAAGCGTATAGAAATTGACGATTGGTTGGCCTTTTGAAAAGCGCTTTTTAAACCCTCATTGACGTGTGTATTCTCTGAGACGTCAATTGTTGTCATTTAACTGACGTTTATTGTAAGCTTTAGACGACGATAATTATTTATCAATAGAAGTAGTGTTGTCCTAAAATTTGTCGATTGGAGCACTTTTCCATCGTATTATTTTTAAATCTACATCGTCGTTGGTGGTAATATCTATTAGCCGTCGTGTAATATGAATTTTCATTAACCGACTTCTTTTCTTTTTCAAATGGCGGTTTTTATTTATGTACGGTCTTTTGTATAGTCATTCCACGTCGTTTGTTAAAATAGGACATTGGTTATGATTTAGATGTCTGTTTTTGCAATTTGTTAACTGGACCGTCGTATTTTATACTTTGAACTCAGTATTTTTAATACTCATTATTGCAAAATTAATGTTGTTTGTACCATATCTGACCGCCCACTCACGTCGTGACACGTGGAACACCCTCAAAGCCGAGACTAGCTCAACCAGGCCATACCGAATGTTCGTTCGGCACACTGTGCCGATTCAGGGGGTCGATTATGCACCATCAGCCCCTTCGCCAACCTTCAGCATGGTATGCCGAGCAACCAACCATCACGTCAGTCCAATTCTGTCAGATTACCTCAGAACTTCTGCTGGAACCTGTTAGAGCACGTGTTGATCTCCGAAGACACTCCCACGAGTCCCACATCGAAACTAAGTGCCAAGAGCATCACAAATGCTCTCTATAAATAGAGCCCTTTGGCCCAGCCAAGTGGTAAGACTTTCTGACTTGACTAGTGCTTCCACTGTCAATAGAATCGCTCTTAGTTATTAACTTTGGCATCGGAGTGCCTTCGGCAGGTACCACACTGGTATCCTCTCCTCAGTTCGGATCCAGCCCCCCGCTCGAACCTTCGGACATCACGGAAGAAGGTCACTCCAATTCTCAAACATCAGCACACTTGTAAGTTAGCATAAACTCTTATCTGTTCAGATTTAGCGCGAACAGATTGGCGCTGTCTGTGAGAAGCCGATTGACAATCAGCCCATATCTCCCTTTTACTTCTGAAACTATGAACCCGCCTTCGCCCCTTGCGACCGACAGTCCCATCCTCGGCCTCGCCGACAGAGAGAACCCTGCTGTGCCACTCGGCACACCCCGAGTGGAGACGCCTGGTCGGCAAAGCACCTTGGAAGACAGGATGGAAGCCCTGCAGCGGGAAATAATCAAGATGTAGAAGCACAACAATATCCTCTCCTCCAAACTGGACGACACCCAGAAACAGCTTCACGAGCAACAATCACGTTCAGCCCAACTGCAGGACGGTTTGGAACAAACCACGCAGCTCCGGCAGGAACGATCACTAAAAAGCGTACCAAGGCCTAACGATCGACAGGCTGGAAAGCAGCTAGCTCGAGGCAAACCGTCCACCTCCCGAAGACTGTTCGTGCCAACTCCGGCAAAGCACCGCCGGGAATACCAAGTCTACTCCGACTGCCCCGTCCAAGCAAAACTCAACGATCGACATATGGACGTACTGGGACCAAAATCTCCCCTTCGACGGAGGTACGACGTGATCGGCCTAAAGGAGACAGACGAATTTGACTACATTCCAACCTCCCTCGACACGACACTTTCATGCCAGTCGACGACATCCGGATCGGCCAGAAAGAACGATCGGCGGGCAAGAACGTCCGACGACGGGCCACGAGGCACAAGGACACGAGGGTCGCCTCCCAACCAGCCCCCAAACGGTAGAACCCTTCGGGACCGACCTCCCTCATACCGATCCTACAATCCGCCTCCTCCTTCAAAAAGTCAATCGGATCGAGGAAGAGCAGAATCAGATCCGGACACCAATCTGGGGAAAGGTACAATCGAGACCATTCACCAGCCGAATCCGATTCTATCGACCTGAAAAAGAGGTACAGACCCTTCGAATCTCATTCTACTCGGGAGTGGAAGACCCCGTCACCCATATTCACAAATTTCAATCGGCCTTGGGTTGCAAGGGACTCACCGATGAAGGCCAATGCCTGTTGTTCCCATCTACCTTGGGCGGGGCAACTCTGAATTGGTTTTATCGACTGGAACCAGGTACGGTAGATTCTTTCGACCAGTTAAAACAAATTTTCCTAAATCATTTCATGATACAGACCGATCGTCTATACTTTGCCGACGACCTTTACACCATTCGGCAAGGAGACAGTGAGTCCCTTCAGGAGTTCCCAGCCAGATTCAGCCACGAGTATTCTCGATGCCCAAAAACCGACAACCGAGCGGCATTCGGTGCCTTCAAAAGTGGTCTCCGAGCCTCCCAATAACGCTACCTAGTACACAGCAGCAATTCGACCACCTATGGCGAACTCATGAAGCAAGCAGCCATTCACGCCAAGGCCGAACACTTCAACTCTAAAGGAATGCCTTCGACATCTCCTGGCCAGACGACAAGCACAAGTCAGCTTTCGGCATCCACCTATGACCGTTTCCCGCCGCACCAGAACGCTAATCAAGCTCCCTACCGAACGACACCCACAGTGCCGCACCTTGCATAACGGGGGATAAGCGAAGGGACTTGTTCCAAGGTCGGCAGGACCGACCGCCGAGGTCAGGTGGCCGAAACTTCCGAAACACCAAAAGAGACCGACCGCCGGAGGTCTTCACCATTCTTAACTCGACCTATGAACATGTCCTCATGGCCGAAAATCAGATGATTCCGAAGCCAAGTCTCCGGAAGCTCCCTTGGCAAGTCGACAAGGATACAGGAGTCTTCTGCCGATACCATCAATACAACGGCCACGATACCGAGTCCTGCATCGCCCTCCAAAAGGATCGTTGAAAAACTGATCAGCGAAGGCAAACTAAACCAGTATCTGAGCACACAATCGGGTCTCGAGCACCAGGGCAATCGGCAGATCAACGTGATCAGCGGCGGTACACCGATCGCTGACTGCAGCCGTCGGTCCGTCAAGAGTTATGTACGTGCCGTTCGGCACCCTCAGGTCCTCAGCCTCACTAAGAAGCGCAACAGCAAAATCCAACGATTCGGATGGGAACCCATCACCTTTTCTGAAGAAGAAGAGAAGGGCATCTTCTTCCTCCATTCCGATCCCATGATCATTCGAGCAGACATTGCCGATTTCGACGTAAGGCGAATCCTCATCGACACCGGAAGCTCGGTCAACGTACTCTTTCCCGATGCTTTCAACGGCCTCGGAATCGACCATCAAAGCCTCAACAAGGAGATCACTCCTCTTCTAAGCTTCTCGGGCAATGTGGTCGAGCCAATCGGGAGCATCCAGCTTCTCCTTGCCGTCGACTTCGGCTCCAGAAGGGCTTTCATCTACACTCACTTCCTAGTAGTCAACTGTCCGACTGCATACAACGCCATCATCGGCAGACCCACCCTCACCCGAATGAAAGCCATTTTGTCACCACATATGCTGCTGCTTAAATTCCCAACACACTCAGGAGTCGGCTCGGGGGGACCAATTGAGCACACGGGTATGCTATGTGTCATCCACGGCGGAATCAGCAACCCGGGCGTTAAGGCAAAGGCCGCCCGAAACACTGGCTGTTACTCGCCCAAGCATGCCAAACGGCAAACGAGGGACCGAACGCCTAGATGACCCCTGGGACGACAACGTCACGCTGCAAGCTCAACCTATCGAAGAGCTCGAAACGATCTCCATCTCCGACACACAGGATTGGTAGGTCCGAATCGGCACTTCCCTCAGTCCGTCTCTCTGAACCGACTTCATTACCTTTTTTAGGACCAATTCGGAAATTTTCGCCTGGTCTTACAACGATATGCCTGGGATCTCCCCGGACGTCATCAACCACAAGCTCAGCATCTCCCCTTCTTTCAAGCCGGTCTGACAGAAGAGACGATCCTATGACGCCGAACTATATGAGGCCATGAAGACCGAAGTAGACAAGCTTCAGGCAATCGGCTTCATCCGTGAAGTCACCTACCCCATTTGGCTCGCTAACTCAGTCTTGGTGAAGAAATTCGGCGGCACCTGGCGAATGTGCCAAAATTACACCAATCTGAATAAATCATGTCCGAAGGATAGCTTTCCACTACCAAGAATTTATCAATTGGTGGACGCCACGGCTGGCCATGAGCTCCTCAGCTTCATGGACGCCTACTCCGGCTACAACCAGATTTTCATGCATCCTACGGATCGTGAGCATACGGCATTCATTACCGATAGAGGGCTTTATTGCTACAACGTCATGCCGTTCGGCCTAAAGAATGCTGGAGCTACATACCAGCGACTGGTCAACAAAATCTTTGCAGAACTCATTGGCACTTCAATGGAAGTCTACGTAGACGATATGCTAGTCAAAAGTCATACCGCCGGCGATCATCTCCGAAACCTCTCACTCATGTTCGGCAAACTAAAAAATACAACATGCGCGTGAACCAGAGCAAGTACGCCTTTGGCGTCTTTTCCGGCAAATTCCTGGGCTTTATGATCAGCCAAAGGGGGATTGAAGCCAACCCCGAGAAGATCCGCGCGCTTATCGATATGCGGCTGTCGAGGACGAAGAAGGAGGTTCAGAGCCTCACCGCCCGAGTCGCCGCCTTGGCCCGTTTCATATCAAAGGCCACCGACCGGTGCGCCCCTTTCTTCAAAGCTCTCAAAGGGAGCAAACAGCAGGTAGATTGGACTTCCGAATGCGACCGAGCGTTCGAAGATCTGAAAGCCTACATGAGCAGAGCTCCTCTGCTGTCCACCCCTCTTCCCGGAGAAGACCTCACCATCTATCTCTCGGTCTCGGCATCGGCCCTGAGTTCCGTACTCATCCGTCAACTGAACGGCATTGAGCTCCCCATCTTTTATATGAGCCATGCATTACAGGACGCAGAGCAACGGTACCCCCAACTTGAACAGTTGGCCTACGCTCTCGTCCTCTCTACACGCAAACTTTGGCCCTACTTCCAGGCTCACAGCATCGACGTATTAACCAATCAACCCCTACGGCAAGTCTTGCAGAAGCCAGAGACATCAGGACGACTGATCAAATGGGCTATCGAGCTTGGCGAGTTCGACATCAGGTATCACCCTCGGCCTTCCGAATAAGGACAGGCCGTGGCCGATTTCATCTCAGAATTCACACTTCCAACCAACGACGGTCAACTAATCGACCCTGTCACAGCACCATCTTCGGCATCTATAGATTCACCTCCGGCCGACAATACGTTCAATCAAAACAGCCCTCACTGGACATTATACATGGACGGCTCATCCAATCGGCAGGGCAGCGGCGCAGGCCTAGTCCTCAAAACTCCGGATGACACCACAATCGAATACGCTATCCGCTTTCAATTTCGTGCTTCCAACAACGAGGCCGAATACGAAGCGCTCCTAGTAGGCCTTCGACTTACCCAAAGCTCGGGTGCCGAACGGCTGATGATATGTAGCGACTCCCAACTCGTCGTCAACCAGGTAATCACCGAATTTGCAGCGAAAGACGAATCAATGGCTGCCTATCTCGCACAAACAGTTCAAAACCTACTACATCTGCCAGGTCCCCAGATCTGAGAACAGCCACGCCGATGCTCTCTCTAGGCTCGCTTCGGCAACCGACACCCGTGTTGGACGCCACGTCCCCATAGATGTTCTCGCTCGGCGGAGCACAACCGAAGCCGATGTCAACACCGTCCGTCAGGACCCTAGTTGGATGGACCCGATCCACGCCCACCTCACCGATGGCACCCTACCAATTGACAAAATCGAAGCGAAGGCAGTACGACAACGGTCGGCTCGCTACCTCCTGTTGCAAGGCATCCTCTATCGGCGCAGCTACTCCCTGCCGTTTCTAAGATGTGTCACACCACAACAAGGAGACTACATCTTGTGTGAGATACACGAAGGCGCGTGTGGTGACCACTCGGGATCTCGATCCTTGGCTTCAAGGCCGTTCGGCAAGGCTATTATTGGCCAACTCTCCACGCTGACACCACCCAGATTGTGCAAAGGTGCGATCTGTGCCAACGTTTCGGATCTGTATCGAAAGTTCCGGCCGAACCACTTAGTCCGATGACTAGCCCGTGGCCATTCGCCCAGTGGGGACTCGATCTCATCGGCCCAATGCTGTAAGGCGCGGGTCAGCTTAAATTCGCAGTCGTAGCCGTCGATTACTTTACCAAATGGACTGAGGCCGAAGCCCTCGCAACAACAACGGCAGCTAAGATTGAACACTATGTATGGAAAAACATCCTATGCCGATTCGGCCTACCAAACGCCATCGTAACGGACAACGGCAAGCAATTCGACTGCTCACGGTTTCGGCATCTCTGTTCCCGATTCAACATCAGCATCTTCTTTGTGTCTCCGGCACATCCGCAATCCAATGGGCAGGTAGAAGCCATCAACAAGATCATCAAGAAAACATTGAAGAAGCTGGGAGCCGCCAAGGGCAATTGGCCTACCATACTACCAGAAGCACTATGAGCCATCAATACCTCCTATTGAAGGTCAACTGGTGAGACACCATTCTCCCTAGCCTTTGGTACCGAAACTATCGTACCGGTAGAAGTACATGCACCCACATGCCGAACGGCATCTTACGACCCTCAGCAGAATGAACAGTAGCTCGCCCTCAATCTGGATCTCATTGACGAACGCCGATCGCAAGCATAGCTCCGGAACGCTACCTACAAACAACGAACGGCTCGGTATTATGACTCGCGCGTAAAACACCGATCGTTCAAGATAGGGGATTGGGTTCTGCGTAAAGTGTCTCTAGCAACGAGAAATCCTACTGAAGGCACTCTCGGCCCCTCATGGGAAGGACCCTATGAAATTGTCAGCATCTGATGACTCGGCACTTACCGATTACGTGGCTCCGACGGTCAAACCCTCGGCCACCCTTGGAATGTCGAACATTTAAAATTCTATCACAAGTGATTGGACCTTCGGCCACTACACTTTTGTACAATTTTTTCTTTCAACAACATTCTCGTTTTCCTATTTTTATACAATTCGGCATACATGCTTATATTCGACAACAAGGACAAACACCGAAGCTGATTCAAATTAGACTTGGATATAATTAACGCCTCAAACTGGGTAATTGTCTTTACAAAATTGGCCGAACAGCCTCAATATCCAAACACTAACTATATGTTACAACAACAAAAGGGGCAAGTAGGGCAGCAGTCAAGGAGTTGGAGGATCGGCCTCAGGCTGTGCCGGCCCGCCCTCATCATTTCGAGCACTCAACGGCTCGGTAGGGGGAGTCGTTTCTTCCTCCTCACCGTCCGATTCTGAGTCGCTCGAGGAATCGACTTCGGCATCCTCCCTGAGGTACGCCTCGACCATCTCCTCGGTTATCCTCTCGGGCAACGGCGGCGGATCCCGGAAGAATTTCAGGTTCAGTTTTTTATCAGCATTCAAGCGCTTGAACCGGTAGATGAGATCCTCGCATTGCTCCATCATTTCCTTGTCCAGCAATGCCACGAACTCCGGCAAGTTTCGGTACTCAGCTATGGCCTGTTTCTTGGCCTCCTCCAGCTCCGTCGCCCGAGATCGACGCTCGACCTCCTTCGCCGCCTCTGCCCTCGCCCTCGCCTCTTCGGCATCCACTGCCGCCCTTTCGGCCTCCGCCAACCTGGAGGATAGCTCGGTTATCTTGGCAGCGTTCTCCTCCGCATGCCGGTCCACATCCTGGAGTAGTTTCCCAGCCTCAGCAATTTAGCCCGCTTCATGCTGACCCACATCTCCATGTTAGCCTGCAAACACAACACAAACGTCAGTACTTTCCCATCCCCTCAACACTTGGACAAAACTAAGGTGAGCACACTTACGGCAGCTTGGAGGCGGAAGGCACGTCCGGCCTGTTCGCGCACCGACTTCTTCGGCAGCTGCTCCAGCTCCGGGAGCTCCATCTGAGCACCGTCGATGAAGCAGTTCACAAATGGTACCACCTTTCGAGGGCAGGCGATGTTCACCGGCTCCGCTTCGGCATCCTCCTTGTCCGACACATGGACGGCTGCTTCCTCGTTCGGCCCCTTTGGCCTCTTCGGTAGAGGGGTCACATCGAGGGCACCCTCGATCACCCTTTTTCCGATCACCTGAAGATGGGCCTCCCGGATCAGCTCGGCCTCCACCACCCTTCTCACCTGCCGTCGATCGCCCGGCGTGCCCTCCTGTGCCGGCGCACCCTCTGCCTGGCGGGGCGGCTTCGTCTTCGGCCTCGAGGAACCGGTTTTCTTCTTCTGAGGGGCCCGCAACTAAAGCCTCCTCCTCGTCGCTTCGGTCATTGCCCTCCCACCAGCCACTGCACAAAACAAAGTTAGCGCATATTCGGCATACACCACAATAACATGAAACAATGAAAGGCATTACTTACTTCGCCTCTCTTCCTCTTCTTCCTCCTCTTTCCTTCGGAGGTACTGAGGCTCGCTGATCGGACCCGCTCTGAACAGGTTCTTGTAGTCTAGCAGAGCCTTGTGCACACGACCCTCCTCAGGTATTCTTGACCGAACACGCTCGATCACTTCTATCTCTCTCTTCGTAGTGATCGGCCGTTTCAATGACACTGAAACACAAAAAAAAGCGCTATTGCTTCCGAACGGCACCCCATGGGCCTACCGACTGTCTGGAAGGAAGTGGGGATATGCCTCTCCACAATCACTCCCGACATCGATTCCCAAGCTCCGGACACCAACACCCGACGCCGACACCAGGTTTTCTGCGAGGTCGGCACCCTGACTACGAAGTGACCCCTTTGCCCCGCCGACAGACAGTTCGACTGCACCCACCCCCCTGATCGGTGCTCTTCGCCCTCATCACACTGTTTAGATGGGCGAATTTCTCATAGCTCGGCTCCCCCTCACCATCTATGCCGAAGGCCGTGACCGTCCCCATGAGTGTGATCCAAAAATTTGGATTAAATTGCCTAGGGGAGTAGCCGATCGCTGCCAGGATCTTCTATACCGAATGTCTCAGCGGCAACCTAAGCCCGTGCTTGAAGACATTCGTGAAGAAGGCAACCTCCCCCTTCGGATTACTCAGCGATTCCAACGACCTTGGGATCCGCATCTTTACCGATTCCGGAATGTTGTACGAGGCCGGGATCTTCGCCACCTCCGCCTTGGTCAAGACGTTCGGCTTTAGGTGGTCCACCCCGAACACAAGGTCCTTTGGCTTTGCCATCGGTATCCTTTGTTGGTCGGCGACCACCGTCAGCACGCCTTCCCTAGGATCGACAAAAGACATATCTGCCTCGGCCTCTTCCATTCGACGACCAGATGTCGATGGGTGGGCGCCGTCCGCCCCCACTACTTCCACACTTGAAGTGCTCTCCGTATAGGTGGACACCTCCGGCACTTCTCCTCCCTCAGTCTCCTCGAAATCGGCACTATCAAGCCCTACGATCAAGCTCTCCGATGCCGATTCTCCATCAAACACTCTTGGGCTACGACTATAGTCTGATTTGGTGTATGACATCTACAAACAAAAGCAATGCAAAACTAAACGACATGCTGGAATCAAACCCCTATCCTAGAGCCCAAGAGCTGCTGTTCATCTACGCTAATCTATGTTCTTACGTGTTCATACGTGTTCATACAAATCTACAAGCATTTGATTCATGCCAGGCGGGAAAACATTACCATACCTTGTTTTGCACTGTGGTGGAAGTCGCCGGAAATCGCTCCGCCTTCACAAACACTCGCCGAAAATCGCCTACAACGTCGCAATGCACTCGCCCGAAATCACCTCTCACAAGCTCCGGTTGCTCTCAAAACCTCAAGTACCTCCCCTTACCGCCTCTTCCCTCAATTTATAGGACGAGCCTAGCATCGGGAACCGAAACATCACAAGTCTTCTCAGCCTTGCCGACACTTCGAACGTTTCGCCTTCTCCCTTTCTTCTCCTTTTTGAGACAGAGCACAACTTTCATAGCATACGGCAGGCACGCACGGGTCAAGTTTTCACTTACCCCTCGTGCCGAACGGCAGGCGCGCATGAGTAGAGTTTTCACTCACCTCTCGTGCTGAACGGCAGGCGCACACGGGTCGAGTCTTCACTTACCCCTCGTGCCGAATGGCAGGCGCGCGTGGTCGGGTCTTCACTTACCTCTTGTGCCTAATAGCAGGAGTGCGTGGTCGAGTCTTCACTTACCCCTCGTGCCGAACAGCAGGCGCGCGTGGTCGGGTCTTCACTTACCCCTCGTGCCGAACAGCAGGCGCGCGTGGTCGGGTCTTCACTTACCCCTCGTGCCGAACGGCAGGCGCGCATGGTCGGGTCTTCACTTACCCCTCGTGCCGAACGGCAGGTGCGCGTGGACGAGTCTTCACTTACCCCTCGCGCCGAACGGCAGGCACGCACGGGTCGAGTTTTTCACTCACCCCTTGTGCCGAGCGGCAGGCACGCACGGGTCAAGTTTTCACTCACTTCTTCCTGCCGATTCCCTTCCAATCTTCAAACCAACCTCTTGGCTTGGGGACTTGGGGGACTACATGATCATCACCGGCTTACAAACGACAGACGCTCGTTCCCGGGTCAGAATGCCGGAGCTCAGGGACAAGCAAGTCCCCAACCAAGAAGTCCCTCCTCGATCGGAAACTTGGCGGACTACTGTTTGTACCATATCTGACCGCCTACTCACGTCGTGACACGTGGAACACCCTCAAACCCGAGACCAGCTCAACCGGGCCATACCGAATGTTCATTTGGCACGTTGTGCTGATTCAGGGTGCCGATTATGCACCATCAGCCCCTTCGCCAACCTTCGGCATGGTATGTCGAGCAACCAACCATCACGTCAGTCCAATTCTGTCAGATTACCTCAGAACTTCTGCTGGAACCTGTCAGAGCACGTGTCGATCTCCGAAGACACTCCCACGAGTCCCACATCGAAACTAAGTGCCAAGAGCATCACAAATGCTCTCCATAAATAGAGCCCCTTGGCCCAGCCAAGTGGTAAGACTTTCTGACTTGACTAGTGCTTCCACTATCAATAGAATCGCTCTTAGTTATTAACTTTGACATCGGAGTGCCTTCGGCAAGTACCACACTGGTATCCTCTCCTCAGTTCGGATCCAGCCCCCCCGCTCGAACCTTTGGACATCACGGAAGAAGGTCACTCCAATCCTCAACCATCAGCACACTTGTAAGTTAACCTAAACTCTTATCTGTTCAGATTGCATAACTAATGTCATACATTAAAACAATCAATCAATCCATATATCTTCACACCCATGTCTAATATTTTCACTCCCAAACTCACCCACTAGGTTATCAAATGTTTAGGGGTAGGGAAAAAAAAATCTTAGCCAGAAAAGAATCTTTTCCATGATTGCCAAGAGAGATATCCACTTGGAAAAAAAATTTACGAATGTGAAAAAAAAAAAAAAAAAAAAAAAAAAAAAAAAAAAAAAAAAAAACAATCTAGAAAAATAATAAATAATAACGAGAAACAGATTTTTCCAGCCCCTTGAAAGCAAAGGATCTGAACACATACCACATCCAGGACATTTGACGCAGTACATACCACACATCTCTTCGGTGCTATCTAATAATACATATATATATATATATATATATATAAAGCTAAACTCCCTGAGCGTGATTTATTCTTTCCTATTCCCCTAGTTCTCTTATAAAACTCATCATTATGCTGATAAGATTGTCTTTTTCGTTTATAGTGACGTTTTTTACGAAGATAACTGGGGGAATTATATTTATTTTGTCTAGAAGGAGGGGTAAATAAACCATATTGCTCACAAAAATTACCTAGCTCATATTTTGCCGATTTTCTTTCGGACTGTATTTGCCTATTAATTTTCATATCAATACACATTTTCATACCTTCTTGGTTAATTGTGCTAATTATATTTCCATATGTTAGGCTGTCATAATCTATGTGACCTAACTCATTGCTTAAGACAGTTCGGATTTTATGGGCAAATAAATTAGGCAGTCCATTAATGAATTTTTCTTTCCAAAAAGCTTGATTACTATCTTCTCTTATCATTACACGGGAAATAAAAACGTCTTTATACCATCTAAAATCACTTAATTGAGGGCATCTTAAATTACTCAATTGATCATGTAACCTGGACTGGGTATGACTTGGTGTTCCCATAAAATGCTCAACTATTGTGTAAAGGAGGGTATTGACACCGTCTTCTATACCTCGACCTATATTCTCATCAAACAAAGGAAGACCTTCTTCATTAAGTTTTACTGCATGAATAATATCATTTCGAGACTCATTAGATAAATGCTTATCCCACCAAGAACGTAAGGTTCCTGTAGATCCTGTTTCTAACAAAGGAACAATCTCAGATTGGCGTAAATTATGATTAGTGATATAGCTATTAGCTACCATGGACATGTGGGTTAATTTATTCATAATTTCTTGTTCAGATAATCCATCTATATTCCATTCATATAATTTATCAGAAGAAACAGAAAATTGACTCAAATTATTTCTTTCTTCAAATTGCATATCAGGTGGTGTAGGTCTAGGGTACCAATTTTTTGTTAAGCTAGTAGGATTAATTTTATTAGTTAATCTTTTTACTTTTAACTCAGATTCTAATTCTAGATTTTTAAAAGCATTTTCAATTTTGGAAATATTACTTGACTCAATAGACTCTGTATTTGACTCAAGATCAGTATCGGACTGATTAACTAGAGCAAAGGAAGATCCTATGACTTTAAGACCAGATTTTTCAGGTTTAACTGGGGTTAACTGCTCAAGCATTTCTTCTATTTTTCTCATTGTAGAAGATGTCTTAAGGGAGAATTTAGGCTGTAATTCTTGGAACTGGACTAAGGGTTTTTCTGTGGTTTTAAGCTTAGATATATATATGCATAATCATCAATACCATATTATACATGAATTAATTATGAACTCTGGAAAATTTACTATTTTTTTGCTGCCCATGCACCCAAAAAAAATAATCAAAATTCAATAATTAAAAAAGAATTTACAGTAGTTAACAACAATTTGCCAAGTGATGGCAACCAGGGTTGGATCCGCACAACCGAAACATCACGAATTGCTGCAACCCTCCAAACTTTTGTGCTTGGTTTTTTCATAGCTAGCTGCTGGTTCTGGTTGCATGGTTTTCTGATAAAGCTTCCATGCTTTGAGATGTTAAGGCTTCTTCCTAAGAGTGTTGTTGGAGGTACTTGGAGTTGCCATTTGTGTGAAGGAAAAAACTGAGGCTTCCATATATGGTCGTGTGATGAGTTGAGAGAGAGAGAGAGAGAGAGAGAGAGAGGGTATCGGCTGAATTGAAAGTCGCCACCGCTTCATATTGGGCCACGTTGCTCACCCACTCATTAGGCAGGCAATGTGGATCACACATATATATTTGCAAATGCTTGTGCCTTTTTCCCTCGTTTTTTCCCAAAAGAAAATTCCCTCAATGTCATTTCAATTTTGATAATTATAATCTTATAGTTTTATAATTTTAGCAATTAAGTCCGAATTAAGGGTAAGCATTTATTTTTCTCCATAACATATTTCATAGATTTATTATCGAGATTTGTTTTGACTAAATTAAAGACTTCAATTATATGAAAGTAACGAGTTGAGGACTTATGGTCAATTTTTTTAGGTTTAGATGCTAAAATGGTCTCTGTGTTATACTACGTTGGCTAATTTAGTCCCTATTTTTTTAATTTGGCAAATTCGGTCCCTGTGTTTAGGACCGTTATTCAATTTGGTTATTTCGTTAAAATTTCCGTTATATATGAACATGATAATCTTTTTTTTTTCTTTTGAAAACCTATAAAGCTTTTTAATTAAAAAAAAATTGAATTGATTAAAAATATATCAATAACATAACACTAGAAAAATTAAAAAATAAATTGAAAAATAAAGAAGGATGGGCGTAGTCAGGGAGGGTAAGTGCTGCTTAGCAAGTGGAGTAGTGGAAAAATGGCTACGCAATGGTTGGGTTGGGGAAGATCTCGCTAGGAGTTGGTTGGCGGTAATGGCCCTTTTTCTGTTTTTGAGAGAGAGAGAGAGATTAGGGGTGGGATAGATTAGAGTTGGGGCCTTTGGGTGGGGAGAAAGAGGATGGGGTAGGGATAGACAGGCCTCTTTCTCAAACCCACAGTCTTTCAATGCAGCAAGGGGGGAGGTGGTCACTATCCCTCTTTCCCTCTCCCCTGATACCCCTTTCAATTTTCATCTTCCTCTTCATTCCATCTCTGTTATCATTCATCTTCCATCTTCCCCTTCATTCAATCTCTGTTATCTTCCTTTTTATTTTTAATTTCCTGGCTCCCTTTAAATTCCTCCCTCCTTATATGGCCTTCTTCAAATACTCTATCTCCCTCTTGGATCTATCGACCCCCATGGCCTGTAGCGATCGAATAAATTGTCAAGGAATTCGAATATTGTACCCTTAGTTTTCAGTTGGACTAACTACTTGCATGCTATTTACTCTACTGATTTAACAATATTCTTTTCCTTTCCTTTTACTTTTTGGAATGAGACGATATATGGGAGTATATAAAATAGTTGAGGCAAATTACTTGTACTGATTGAATGGATTTGCCAGCTTGACAAATTACAAAATCCACAAGCAATTACTCCACTTTGACACAGGTAAAGAGGATCCTCTTTCGGAATTCATGCATGTTTATTTGTGCTTTGACATAATACAGTATTCATAAGAAAAGATATACAATATGAAAATACATAAAATTTTGGAACGGTTTTTTCAAGCACGTCGCTGTGTGATTTCCACTATTCTACGACGTTGCTTTCTTCCTATCACCTTCGCAAGCCAATCTGGTGTTCCGTTAGGGAGTACAAGATATCCTATAGATATTCCAATTACCACCCCAGATGCGTATCCCATCAACACTACCTTCCAATCAAAACCATTCCCATGCTCCAAATCATCCTCTTGTTGGAATGACGATGGCGGTAATTGATGTGCACCACATGTTTTAGAAAGTGGCAATCCACATAATCCTGTATTTCCACTATATGAATCATTTTCAAATGTATCAAATTGCTTGCCTTGAGGTATGGGCCCCGTAAGTCGATTTTCTGAAACGTTGAACTTTTCAAGTGATGTCAAATTTGCCAATTGCTTCGGAATATCACCTACAAGTCTGTTTGAAGAGAGATCTAACCATTCAAGATTGCTCATATCGCCAAATGATGGTGGAATTGTACCTGTAAGCTTATTATGAGAAAAGTTAAGCCCCTTCAATGATTTAAGCTTACCGATTACGTTTGAAATCTCTCCTCTGAAAGTGTTGTTTGAGAAATCAATAGTTATGAAAAAAGTTTGAATCTTCACCATCTCAATTTCGAAGCCTTTGATTGTCACTACCATAGTATCCTCATAGTAGCCCTGTCCCATATATTTCAGTTCATGTTCTTGCGAGTTTATCATGGCTGTCAAATGTTCAAAATATTTCGTTGGCAAGAGACCGCTAAACTGATTGTAAGAGAGGTCCATGATACGCAATTTTTGGAAGGGAAA